TATATATATATATAATATAAAGATAATAAAATAAAATTATCAGAAAAAAACTAGATAATAGTAGGTAATTTGTAATTAGAGGAAGTGATTAATGTAAGTAGAAATAATATTTTTTTTACTGCAATCTTCATTATATTCATTTGTGTATAGATAATGCCTTTAATAAAAACATTAAATATGTGATAGTTTAGAGTAAATTTAAATTAAATGAAACAATGAGAACCTAATATATTTCAACATTAATTTTTCCTGGAACCGATCCAAATTAATTATTTTATTTATATATAGCATATTTTATCTAATTAAAGAGGGTCCAAATTACTTATTTCTTTTGTATATTGTTGTTTAAGAGGGATTAAAACATCATGGAAAATTTCATCACCACGTCCAAATTGAGAGCTTTGTCAAAGGATCACGAGCAAATCGTAAAAGCAAACTACTAAAACACATCCATCGCAAAGTACATCAGATTCATAACTCTCTTATTCATACACTGGTCAACTTATTTTTTCCAATGTTAAACTTCATATTGCACTCTAATGTAAATGAAATGACATTCCATGAAGAAGAAAAAAAGGTAACTTTTTTTACTTTATTAAATCAATTTTCCTTTATTAAACAACTTCATTTTACTTTATCAATTTTCACATATTTCTTTCTATCCTCTTCTATATTTCTCTCCCACTTTCAAACAAAGCATTAATCTCCCAATATTCGCACCCTTTTCTTAAATACACCAATTCTAGCAACGTTTTATACATACACAAATTAAACAATCCCATAAAAAATAAAGTAAAACTCCTAATGGTTTGTTTTGCGTGGCTTTACTGAATGCATGACGTGACTGCTACATCAAGATAAAAACACGTTACTTAGACAACAAGATGTGACTACTGCATATAATAAAGATCCTGCTGTTTCTAATCACAATTTAACTATCCGGATTGCAAATGACTTAGCTTGCATGAAGCTAATGATGACATTGTACTCGAGAAAACGTTGTCCCTCCAAAAAAAAAAAAAAAGAACACCAACCCGATTCTATATAATTGCTATATTTAGACTACAGTTGAAACTACATATTTAGATCATTACGTTAACTGAGGACAACGGATATTTGATGTCTCGTTCTTCTTCATTTTCATAACTATATTCTCCTGTTGTGTCAATAGTTCTAGCATGGCCACTGAACGAAGAAGACTGTGTTTCCCTGCGCCCTTCGAGCCTCCTCTTTTTGTAATTAGCCTTGAAACAGGCTTGTCTAAGCCTCTTTGTATTATCTTCAAGTTCAATATCTGGCATTTCCTCCAAAAGCTTCTTTTCCCTCTCCAATATCTCAATCGCACTTCTTAACTTCTCTTCACTCTCCTTTCCTTCCTCTTTTCCTAGCTCCTACATGAATATAAGAAAATAACTACCCCTCATTTATCATCATAAAATATAACCACGGAAAAAGATTCATATGCACCACCACCAAACTCTATTCATAAAATAGAGACAAATATAAATATGACAAACAAATCCTAATAAAATAGAGAAACATAATGAATGATGATAGTATATATATTATATATTGAGATCTCTACATATGATGACACTACAAATAAACAAGATTAGGACATACATAATGTTAGCAACGCAATGAAAACAAACCTGTATATTATTTATCAGGGTTTGTAGGCTCATTAGCTTCCTGTGGGGCCATCTTCTGATTCCCAATACCCTACACCTTTTTTTCAGAAGTGTTAGGCCCACGTTAAGTTCTCTGGCTGCTTGTGTAATGGGCATGTAGAAGTACTGAGATAATATCTTCCTTGACAACAATCTGGTACTGCTACTGCCAATTCTCTCTTCTCTCTCTCTGTTAACTTTTCCATCTTCCATCATTTCCTTCCCACTCCCACTTTCTTCATTGTTGCAAAATAAAAAAACTTTTTCTGAATCTAACACAGCATCAACTTCATTCCAGACAGAAAACCCCTTTTTAATATCATAAAAATCATAGTCTGCAATAGCCAAGATCTAAATAAGGACAAAATATTATATAATAGTACAGTACAAAATATAAAAACTAGGAAAACTCATGTCCATGGGGTTGATATATAACCTTGCACGGTTGGTGTTGGTTCAATGGAGAGAGTTTCATATAAAGGATCTGAAGGGTAATAGTCCATAAGAGGAACTGCATCAAAATAATAGTCTTGTATGGGAAAATCATGTGCCCAATCCAGTGCAGGATACACTTCACCCTTTCCACTGATAAAAGGCATTCCAATAACGACACCTTAAAAACATGCATGACGAGTATAACAGAAGAGATATAGAGCAAAGAAGTTTCATGGTTTACCTGTAAGAAAATTGGCACGTAAATGGAAATGGTTTTTCATCAATTTCGAAGTAAGAGTTCCAACCCATGAGTGGCTGAGAATCCATGATCATGCTCAACAAACTTAGATATACAAAGAAGCTGAAGTAGTGAAAGGATTGTGTGTAGAGTGAAGAAGGATTAAGTCCTTGATGAAACAGTAGAATGAGGAATATGAAAGGAAGTTGGCAATATATACGAAATGTGAATATAGTATGATGATGATGATAGTGAATCATTTGTAACTAAAGGGGGCAATTAATTGTTGGAGAATGTGCGCGCCGCCTTCTATGCGTGAATGCGTTTTAATGGTGATGAGTGTGCTTGCGAGAGTTACAAGATCAATTTAATTACGAGGATAATATCCAAGGGTTCTGCTCAATCTCAGCCGTTGGATTCAACACGTTTTTTTGCCTTCTTTTTCCTTTTATTCATTAATTTTTCACCTTGTTATGCTTATGCGGTCCATGTTCATCTAAAACAAAATAGAGGAATGAAAGAAAAAAAAATCAAGTTTCAACTTAATGAACTCTCTTGTTTCTTTGATGGATTTAGGTTCTATATTCGTTGAAGGGGTTGCGGAGGAACCTTCTTTGCATTTGGAAGATTTTGAACTTGTTTAGGATCCTTTGATCCGTGTTAGAGCAATTGTGAACAGGCAAAATGATTAGGTCTACTATATAATGTGCTGTTTTGTAGCCTAGAATGGAACTGTGCATTGTGCAAGCTATGCAACTGCTTTAGGCCAATCATGAATTCGGTTATTTTCTTCTGAGAAATATACTATATCTACCAACCTAGTTAAAATTACTAGTGTTAATTAATTAGTTTAGTCTTTAAGATTATAGTAAAAAAAATAAAAATATCATTTAATTTTTGAATTTATCTAACAATGGTGATTTTAGTTCTTAAAACTATGAATTAACAGTCATTATGGTTCTTGAAATTACAACAATTAAAACCTTGGGGAACTGAAATCATATTTTTTGTAATTCCAATGATTCATTTATACTATACTACTCATAGTTTTCCTAATTTAACAAATTAAATCATGAATTTAAAATTGAAGGAGCTAGCCATTAATTATTCATTTCACATTATAATTCAGAATATACTGTTAAGTTTCGCGTTCGGATTTTGATTTCAGTGGTGGTCTTCACTCTCCACCTCCCCAGGCTCTGTGTTCAGAAGAACCTAATAGAATATACTTTAGCACAACAAATTGATTTTGTTCACTCCACTTAAATCTAATAGATAAGATACGCAAAGTTCAAAGAGAGTGAGGGAGACATGGACATTAATTAATTGAATAGTGGTTGTGGCTAGATATAGTAGATATGGTGCCTAGTGACTACTAGATAAAATGAAGCCTGTGACATATATAGCCTCATAATTAAATTCAGGAAATGTTCCTATCAATTATCAATTAATTGGTAGTAGTCACTTTCAACAAATTTGGTTGGGAATGAGCAATAGGCATGCTAGGTTTCCAGTAGATGAAACCTAATAGTAATAATCTTTCCATATATTCATGCATGCACGTTTCCCCGTTTTCTTCCAAGCAATAGATCGACCTGAAACTTGAATATATTATGAAGGATAAATCATAATCATTTGCCTCTCCGCCATCTTCAGACTCTACCAATATTAATCATTACTAATTGGAGCCAAAATTAAAAACAAAGAGCTATTTTTTTTTGTTTCATCGTTTTTACCTTAATGCCCTTAGTTGATTAATTTCTACGTTTTAATTAATTTTTAACTGAAGGCTAATTGACGAAATGAACCTGCGAGTTATGATTACTTATCATATTCATTGAGATGTAACGGACTCATAAAAAAAACTAATGATTTTTCTCGTCTGTTATGAAGAGAAGTACTTGGCGGTTGTAAGAGTTACTTTCAATCCATAATTGACTGTTTAATACTTGAAAGAAAAAAAAATAGTTGTAAAAAAAATACTTGAAAAAAATATATATTACTTGCAAAAATTTATTATGCTTAGCAAGTATTGAGAAAAACTCAAGTCCCACATCGACTAGAAATTAAGCAATTGAATAGTATATAAGTGGAAAACAATCCTTATCTTACAAGCCGGTTTTGTAGGGTTGAGTTAGGCTTAATCCACTATTCAAAGATGGTATCAGAGCTATCTAGATCCTTAAAAAATGGGCTGCCTACCACCGTAAGCATGAGGGGGTGTATCGAGAAAAACAAGTCCTGCCAGTCACCCACCATTTATCCACGTACCAAGAGTGAAGGGTGGTGTATTGGAAAAAACTCAAGTCTCATATTGACTAGAGATTAGACAATTGAATAGTATTGGGAAGATCAAATTACCTTGTAAAAAGTATCAAAACTTGAAAGTGTCCTATCTAGGGATGGCAATGGGGGGATAGTAAATCTGTCCCCGCCTCGCAAGATGAAAATTGGCTTCATACCCACCTCCCCATGAGGGCGAATAATAGTAAACCTGTCTCCGCCTCGCAGGATGAAAATTGGCTCCATACCCACCTTATATCCATGCGGGTAATCCATTAAACAGGTATCCATTAATTTCTTGAATACCCATGGATATTTATAAATTTTTTAAGAAATTAAAAAAATTATATTAGAAATAATTTTAAGTTTATATTTAATGTCATTGAAATATTAAAAATAAAAATTCAATGTTAATTTTGAACTTGTATTTGACGTTAATTTTGTTGAAATAATAATAAAAATGCAAGATAATCAATAACTTAAAATACATTAATCTCACAAGTGAAAGTCTCATGTCAGAAAACTACAATAATTCAATCTTATAATTCTAAATGAAAGTAAACAACTTAAAATACATAAATCTTATTGTGATGACTAATGTTGGGCTGTGCGGCTATGAAAATAAAATAAAATAAGAGAGTGTAGTTTTAGGGTTATGTGGTACAAGGATAATTAAGATATTTAAGAAATATTATTAAACAGGTACCTGCGGGTATGAATATCATCATACCGGCTCCGCCCCGTTTATAAACGGGTAAAAAATTATCTGTCCCCATTATCTACGGGTACCTAATTAACCTATCAATTTATTATCCGTAGCGAATTTTATCCACAGATACCCGCGGGTGCGGGTATTTTTACCATCCCCAGTCCTATCTACTCACTTATATACATGTTATATATTAACTAAAAAAACACTTAATTTTTATACGTATTATCACCTAAAGATTTGTACACATAGTTAATAAATTACAAATTACCTTAATTATATATTATTTTCAAAGTATTTGTTACAAAAGTTAATAATTATGACCACACTTCATAATTAGATCATAGACTATATATTATTTTTCACTATCAATATACTTCAATTAAATTCTTATTCATACAATAATCATACATTAAAAATGTTTAGGACTAATGTAAAAATAAAAAACTAATATAAGTTGTTTTTTAATAACTAAATGGAATATAATATTTATATAAATCTGAATAGAGGTGTTTACATGCTGAGTTTAAGATAAAATCTAATTCAAACTGATTATATATTTAATTGATTTAGTTTGAAATATTTTTTTTTTCAATCCAATTGAACCAATTTGATTAATATGAGGTTGGTTTGCTTCAGATTACCAGGTAATGATAAATAAAATACTTTTAAAGTTTTATTTATATTTTGTTCGTCTATTTTATATAAATTTAATATATAAAAAAAAGCAAGATACAATTAATTATTATTCTTTAATGAGTAAATATTAATTTAATTAATTAATTAGAACATACTCTAAAATATAATTTTTTAAGTAAACATAACAATGATTAACATTATAACCGAATGACTTTTTGATTGAAATTATATAAATAAATAAATATATATATATATATTGGGGAATGCTAATATACTCCCACTAAGTAAAATAAGTGGGAGTATGTTAGCAACCTACACCAAAATTTTAGGACAAAAAAATCACTCATTTCTTTTGATTTGGTTAATTCGTACAAAGGATATTATAGTAATCTACTTTAATTTTAAATAAAAATAAAATATTTTCTCTCTCTTATTAATTTCATTCTCCAATTCATTTATTTATTTTTATTAATTAATTTTTATTTGTTCAGAGAGGGTAGAGACATCATGAGAGATGAGAGAGAAATGAGTTAAAGAAGGAATTTAATAGGAGAGAAATAAATAAGTTAGAGAAAGAATTTAATAGAAAAGGGAAATGAGTTGGAGAAATAATTTAATAGGAGAGAGAAATAACTTAGATAATGAAATTAATAAGAGAGAGAAAATAGTTTATTTTCATCTAAAATTAAATTAAATTACTATAATATCCTTTATACAAATTAACCAAATCAAAAGAAATAAGTAGTTTTTTTATCCTAAAATTTTAATGTAAGTTACTAACATACTCCCACTAAAAAATAGGTGGGAATATATTAGCATTCCCTATATATATATATATATATTGTCAATCTATTTCAATTAAATTGTTTTCTTATTTCTCAAGAGTATCTTCTTAATTTGAAGGTATTTTTATTTTTTTTGAAGTACAATCAATTATTAAATTTATACACTCCTCCCAACAAAAATTTGAATATTGAAGTGTCATGTATAAATTTAATCTTTTGTACGATATTCAACTCCCGTTAATAAATGTGATTTATTGAACCTCCGTACATTTCTCTTCCAAACACAAACTCTTTCTGATCAAGGAAGATTACAAATTATGCAAGTTAACAACATACATGGCATAATAATTATTTATGAACCAAATTATATCATTATAAGTTATTAATTATTATACTTTTTACTGCATCAATTATTATATGATTAACATGTAAAGATGTGATTTTTATTGATTTAAATATTATATTGTATGAGTAAAAAACAATTAATTTGTAATTATATGTTACCTTGATAATTTATGTAAAAATTTATCAAAATTGAATAATTAAAAGCATATAATCAAAGAAAAAATTTATATTACATTGGTTGTATCTCGAACATAATTAGTCTTTGACACAAACCAAACCAAAAATATATGTATTTAAAAAAAAATATATTACAATGCATATTGAATATTAAAGAATTTTAAATTAATACAAGATTTTGTAAAATGATCTCTATATAATAACAACTTTTAATTGAACGCGAAGTTTGAGATTAAATCATACAATTAAAAGATATTGAGTAAATTTTTTTAATGAAATTTGTAGACTAAAAAAATAATTTGAAATTTTGAAGACCAAAATCCAAATTATCTCAAATTTTAGAGAATAAAAACATATTTAAGCACATATAATTTATATTATAATAAATATTTATAATAAATTATAATTATTACAATACAAATTTATTTTTAGCCATTGATATTTTTTAATATTAAAATTCAATTTAGAAATGCAAATGACAATAGTATATTGAAAAAGACAAAATATTTGAAAAAAAAATTCATTCAATAAAATTATTCATATATATATATATAAGATTGAAAAGAAATGTTCGACACATTTGATTTTTGTTTTACTTTTTAATAATTAAATAAAATTTTATATCATAAAAAATAATAAATAATACACGTCAAAAAAAAATTATATAGTAAAAAAATTATCATTTTTCAATCATTATAAAAATATTTTATATAATTTATTTATATTCGTTGACAGTTTGAACCATACTCTTCCTTTTTATCTTTTAAATTTACTAATAATTTCTTTTCTATAGTTTCATAAATTTTAATTTTTACTAATTAAAAATGTCATATTTTAGTTCTATGCATACTATTTTTGTTCTCCTTTAGTCTCCATTGCCTATTCTCATACAAACCGAGAAAGAAAATTTATGCAATTATCTGACTAAGAGAAGGTTTATATAACTATAGGATTAAAAGAAAAAAAAATATCATGTGACTATTAAAAGGGAAAAAATGATATATATATATATATATATAAACTAAAATAAAAAATTATTAATTATAGGAACTAATTGGTAAAATTATCTTCTAAAAGAAGTAAGATTCATAAAATCATATTAAAAAAATGGTAATTAAACCTTTCGTTTTATTATTTTTATCCATTTAAAACATTAATTTTGTACTCTACTTTTCTTTTACTTTTAAACTTTTTATTTCTTTCCTTATTATATTTTTCCATTGTATTTCACCTTTATTATGAACATAATAATTAGTTAATAACATTCAAATTGGTTACTACAAGTGAACTTGTGTCGATGTAGTATGTATTTAGATACCAGTTTGAAATCATATTTAACAAAAAAAAAATATTTGTAAGTAGAATATTTTTTACGATCCCAATTTAGTTCAACTCAACTGGTTATCAAATTCGTCCATGTTCATGTAAAACATAATTTTCCAACATGCAAGGAATTAGGAAAGAAATAAAAGTGCTTAATGGTTATACTAAAAAGGTCAGAAACTGAAGTATACAACAGCTACAGTCAGCAGGTATCATGAAATAAGCTTGCCAAATGCCAAGTAGACATGAAACTAGACATTTGATTTTTAGCAACAACAAAAAACTAGCATTCACCATTGCAATCAATGTTTGGACCCTCCCTTTCTCCCATGATGACGCTTTCCTCCACCCAATGCCTTGTTTGCATCAGCTTTCACCTGCATCTCTTCTGGCAAGGGAACAATATGATCCACACATTTGCGGAAGCTAAAATCATCAACAGATTCATCCTCTCTGATGAGGAAGAAGCACCTACTTTTCCACATTGGATGCTTCCGGACTTGAAAAACACGGATTCCTCCTCCAATCTTATCATCACCCTCTGCATGGCCCTTCTTAAGCAATTCCAGTAACATTGTATGTTCATACTGCCACACAAACAAATCAAAACATCAATAAGTAAATTCAGGTTGTGTGGCTACTGCATCATCAAGATGCATTACGGAGCCAACATACACCAATTTAAAACCCAATTTACACATTAGCTAATGATGGATTTGCATACAGTTCAATTAGATAGGAAATATGATCTTCAATGGATTAACTATTTATGAATAGAAGCATAAACATAAATCTCTTCTTTTCATTGGAAAAAAAAAACTGAAATTTAGCTGAAAAATTAATTAAAAATGGGTAGATAATATCGGTGCATACTGCATAGTCATTGCCAGGTTAAAAAAAATTAGTTTTTTTTTTAATCCAAGAAAAAGGGGTAACCAAATTAAACGATAATCATCATTGGTGACAAATGTTGAAGTACCTTGTTAAGATTGAGATTGGGGGGCCAGGTATGAAGGAGATTGTAGAAATAATCGAACATTTCGACGGAAGAAGCGAAGTTTTTGAACCCCAATTTCACGGGACCTGAGGGTTTCTTCTTCTCTTCTTCATCCTCTCCGTTCGAACGTTTTTCTTCTGCCTCCACCTTCTGCTTCTTCGAAACGCCGTTTTCTTCGTCAACGTTGTCCTCTCTAGTTCGCTTCTGGTTGGGCTCGCCGTTCGATGCTGAGTCAACGGCGGTGGCGTCCGTCATGGCGGCTCGACGGTGGCTTCCGCCTTGGAGTGCGATATTTGAAAAGTTAATTGAAACCAAAATTGGGAGCGGGAGGGAGTGACCTAATTTTTCTCTCTTTCTTCCCACGCCAACAATTTGGGCCTCACTGTTGTTTTCTGGATCAGGGCCTTATTGTTTGAATTATGGCCTGTGCTCATTACTCAGGTCCAAGGTGAAATAAAAAGTCAATACTTTTTTTTAAATTTTTTTTTTATTTTTTATATTAAGGATATGTTTATAGGAAAAAAAATAAGAATTTAAAAAATATTCTATATAAACTTTCTCATATTATATTTTCTGAGAATTTTATTTTTTAATTTATGTATAAGTTATTTTTAATTTATGAAAAAAATTATTTCATTCTTTCTTAAAAGTGTTTAGGAAAAAAAATTAATCAAACATTCTCTAGAGAGAAACCATATCTCTATTTTGGAGCATTGTTCTTTCTTATTAAACTTAAAATCTTAGTTTCAAATCATAAAAAATATATAAAATTAACTCTCATATATTAAATACAAATTCATATCTTGTGTGAAGTATTTTTATGAATTTTTCTTCAACAAGAATATTTGTAGTTTTTTTTTTTCTAAACTAATCTAATTTGGTTATTTCTTATCATAATTATTCATGAATAAAATATTAATATTTTAAATAAATTATCAATAAAAAATTATAAAATAATTAGGAACTTAATTAGGAATATATAACATAATATAGAGAAAGTTTTCCTCTTTCACATTTATCTCACACAACCTTTTCTTTTTCATTACAACTAACACATAATTGTTGTCTCTATTACTGTATTTATTATAATTGATAGCATAATTACAAATTTTATGATAATCATTATTATTATTATTATTATTGTTATTATTGTTATTATTGTTATTATTATTATTATTAATTTAAATAATATGCAATTACTATCACTAAGTTCACCGATACCATTACCACCAATATTTTCATTTATATATAACTTAAATTTCATCTACTAGATTGTGTATTATGCACTAAACGCATAATAAAACAAAAGGTTTATCCTATTCATATTCCTTACTTTTGTTTTGTCCTCTTATCTTATTCATTGTTATATGATCTTTTATCACTTAATAAACCCTTAAAAATCAAGACAGTATTTCATGCATGAAAGAGCTAATTAATATAACACATATTTAATTTTAAGAAAATAAAAAATATATCTAAATTAATCGATTGATTGTAGGATAAGTTAGATTTGAGCTTTATATTTCTTTTGATTAACTTGATTTTCTCCGAATTGATCAAACTTAAGTTGAGTTAACTGTCCATGTGTTAGGAAATGTGTGAGAATAAGAGAACTAAATATTGATCATCAATCTTTAAAATCAACAAAATGATTAGTTTTAATTTTAAAAAATTAATGTGTGAAATCAATGTTAACCGGAGCTGTTCTTTACAGATGAAAATATCTGTCGACGAATGCTACATTTTTAATGTTGTCCTGTTTTCGGAACTTAGAATAAACATAGCTAACATCTTTTAAAACTTACGGTACATGGTCACTGTTGATGAAAAAATATATATTCTATGTGAATCTGTCTTTTCATGTTTTTTTTTGCACCAAGGAATCTCTAGTCCACAAGGACCACAACCGAAGATTAATGCCTTTAATGATCTGTCATGAAATACAATTCACTTTAACAATGTCTTGATGCAGAAATGGTAGACACCCAAGACTCAAGTTTTCATGCTTAAGAGCTTTGAGATTTGAGTCTTCTTCGATACATGATTATCTGAGTGTCAATCATACAAAATAAATTTATAAAATAAAGATTATTTCTTCACTTATATACATTTATTTAATTATTTCCCTAGTTAATAAGAGAATTTTAACAATAATACTGATATCTTTTAATGAATTAAAATATTTTACATAACGGATCACAAAATTTTGATAATCGTGAGTTTTATTTCTTTCACCAAAATCTTTTTCCCATTCAACAAAATAAAATGTCATTAGTATATAAGAGACTCAACTATTTACCTACTTTGTGGGACCTTGTTGGTAATTTGTATAATCTACTTCAATTACTATGCAAATGCAAGTACTCTTTTAAACTCCTATCATTGGTATTAGATATCAGTCTACTACGGACATCCTGAGGTCTCAGAGCAGCTAAGGGAAATGAGGTAATATTCTGACACTTTCCATCTTTTAAGAAATTATTTGATTCTTATTAAACTATTGTCAAGCTCTTAAAAGTTAACAGTATGGCAGACAATGTCGCTTCCAAGTTAAAAATATCTCATTATAGCATCTGCTTCTGTCGAACTTTCTTTTCTGTATGTTTTTCATGTTTCACTCGTTGGTAATATAATTTTTGCTCCCTTATTTATGAAGAACAGATCATGCTGTGCCTTTATCTTCATGTGGTACATGTTGGAAACACGGGAGGTTAAATATCGAGGAAACTAAACTAATCACACAAGTGAATTCTGCATCACATATTAATCCAAAATCTCAAAACATTAGGTTATAAGTCTTTCTCATTTATTCGTTACTCAACATACTTAACTCTATTAAATATAACACTCTTATTCACACTTGCACACTTACGATACTCTATTTTGAAGTTGTATCTTATCACTTGATAATATTGCCTTTGTTTCATATTACGTTACTCAACATACTTAACTCTATTAAATATAACACTCTTATTCACACTTGCACACTTACGATACTCTATTTTGAAGTTGTATCTTATCACTTGATAATATTGCCTTTGTTTCGTAGAAACAAGTCCCTAGGCAGCACTTCAACTATATTCCTCTCTGTCATACTTTGAGATCATCCACTCATGCCCACTAGGCAATCGACATCAGCACCAGATGAAGACCAATCTTCTTTTAGGCATGTGTAGCAGTTTATCTTTCGAGTATTTGGCCCTTCCTTAACATTTAAGATAGAGGAGCAATGTGAAAGATCTTTACCCTTTTGTTGATCAATCATTGTAGTCAATGTCATTGTGCTAGGAGACAACAATGGAGACAGGGACAGATTGATATAACATTAATTACTGGTTTTTCCTTACCAATTTGAGTTTGCTTTTCCCTACTTCGTGCATTCATTTATGTTTGTTTACTTATTTTAGGTCGGTGCCAAGAGTCTTTGGCTCCACAAGGGACCCGGTGTCTACTGCATGGTCGCCAACACTGGATAGAAGTATTGTTTTGTTACTAGTTTCGGGTAGGGGTGTGCAAAAAATTCAAATTGATCCGAACCGATCCATAACCGATCTGATTCATATTGAAAAATCCGATCCATTTTGAAAAAAATCCGAACCGAACCACTTTATAAAACCGGTTCAGTTATCCGATCTATTTTTACAAAGTGGATCGGTTCAGTTCGGTTTGGTTTTCTTAAAAAACCGATCCATATATGAGTAAAAAAGTGGATAACTGCACCGCACCGAATCGATCCAATTTCAAAAAAACCGATTCATATTTTAAAAAAACCAAACCGATCCACTTTATAAAAAATGGATCGGTTAACCGATCCACTTTTATAAAACGGTTCGGATTGGTTTGGATCGGTTTTTTGAAAAAACCGATCCATGAACACCCCTAGTTTCGGGTGATAGAAGCTCCATGTCTGGTTTTCAAAATGGTTTCTTTAAATAGTAATGTACTCTTTTCAAGACTGGGATAAGATAAATCACGAGGAAAAATATTCTTGAACATCTTTAAGATGTAGGTACTTTGAGAGAGAAAAAGACAAAAAAAAAAAGTAATTGATATGATTGATGATATAATAAGAAAACATGAGAGGATAATGTTCTTACCAGAATCAGGTCGGTCCTTTAAGTCAGATTTATCATCTTCTCTATCTTGGTCTCTTTAGAGATCATGAGAGATTGGTCTTTGAGATTGGTCTTCGAGGTTGGTCTTCGAGATTGGTCGCTGAGATTGGTCGCCCTTCTCCAAGCATCTCGGATGTCCCTGCAAAAAGGACTCTGACGATCAAGTTAGTTATCTGAGATTGTCCAATGAAATGTATATATTTTTACCAGTTATTGTTCGTTTTCCTTCTCTATGTAACCGTCATTATTACCGTTAAATTAACTACTTGATATTGTGATTCAAGCTTGGGCAGGCCGAGTTGGCAAGCCGAGTTGGTTCGAACTTGGTCACCATTTGACCGAGGTTGGTACACAAGCCTCCCAAGCTTTGAGCGATGTAAGAGTGATAGAGGTTAATCAGGAGATGCGTATATTGAAGTTGGCCATAAATTAAGTTTTATTTGGTGTAACATATTAAGGGACTAATGACAACTTATTTAATATTTTGAAGATCAAAAGACATAATGATACCACGTCCTTTCACCTGGTCACTTTTCGCTGCAAAACAGATGAAATTTTTAAAGGTGGCGTTTCATTTTGTATTGTAACGATGAACCGAAATTCCCTTTATATTGGCAATCTTACTGACTGCATAAAAAGAACTAGTAAACACTAATATAAAGTGTATTCATCTTGAAGCTAGATTCTTCAAGCTTAATTGTGATGGCTCAGTGCAACATTTTGTGAAGAAAGTTACAGTAGGAGGGGTATTTAGGGATTATTGTGATCAATTACTCTTTTGTTTTGCTTCAAATATTAGTTTATGTTTAGTTATTCATGCTAAACTTTGGGTCAGATTGATTGGTATATCTACAGCTTGGAATTGAGGCTATAAACAGTTTATGGTTGAGACTGATTATCAAGTTGCAATTAATCTACTCACTAAAGGGTGTTCTTCATACCATCCTCCATTGAGCATTTGCAAAATATTAAAGAGATGGTAAACAAAGGAGGCACATTTCATTGGATGCATGTTTTGAGGAAAGCAAATCAAGTTCCAATTATACAAACTAATTTTGGTTTTTCATTAAATGGTCAATCGAAAATATTTGATGTTGTATCTTTTGTTGTTTGGAATGTTGTTTTGCAAATGTAAACTCTATTATGTTTTTTTGTGATTATTAATATTCTTGGACTTTTTAGCCCTTGTTTTCAACAAAAAAAAAAAAGAAGAAAAAGACATCTTTAATAACTT